AGCCCGCTCTCGCAGGCCTCTGTGTACCCTCTATTAAACACTTTTAAAAGCTTTTGTGGCTTAAAAGCGGCTTAAACTAAATGAAGTATTCTTTAATATGTTCAGAAAATATAATGAAACCGAAATAACTTATTTAAATTGTATTTTTATTAATATTTTAAAATAGAACGACAAAGTATGGATGTGAACTAAATTAAGGACAAATTTGGACTAAGCCCTTTTGATTGAACTTTGAAACGATTTTATGACGTGTGGATCCTGAAACTAAAAAGCTTAGCTATCGTGAAGCCAAAGTGGGATTTAATAATCATGGCTTAGTTGCAACATAAACTTTTCAGTGCTGCTTTATGTGCGGGTTTTCAATGCCAGACCCAAGATTCCTTTTGCTGGCCCCTATCTAAATGTGTATGTGTGTGTGCGGGCTTGTGTGTGGGTATGTGTGTTGTGGGTGCGAAAAGTTCATTAAAGTTTTACGTGCGAAATTATATAAAATTTTAAGTGCTTGACTTGGCCGCGTGTGTCTGCTCCCAATTGCTCATGACTTCCTGCCGCAGCCGAAAGGGAAGTGCAAATTATTTTCCCCAGACATTTTGCAGTTGTTTACGCTTAATTGCTACCGCCATTGCAGGCATTACCCCTTCCTGAAGAGATTTATTATTTAATTGAAAAACAATTACCTTCCGCTGGGTACAAATTTTTTTTTTTGAAGGAATAAAAGCGCTCAGAAAGAATTAAAGTGTTAACTTGTTAATTATAAACATAATTATTATTGAATACCTTACACATTAGCCTGTTTTTTTTACATACTTTAATGACCTCTTTAAATATTTATGCAAATGGGCTTCCGAATGGATGATTTCGTACATGTTTGCTTTTCGCAAAAACCCGTTCAAAAGTCAAGCGCACAATTTTGATTGATTTTTCTACACGAATGCTTTCAATTACTGCCCCTATCTATTTGACTTTCCGCACTCTCATCGCCGTCAGTTACTCTGCAAATGAACACATCCTTCTGTCCTGCCCCCGAAATACAATAACCAAAGTCATGCTGTGACACCTCCAGTCATGCTGAATCCTGACCCCCGCCAACTTGTTGCATCCAAAATCAACTGTGATTCCTGCTTCACTGGAGAAATCACCAATGAAAAAAAAAATGGCGAATAGGATCCGTCTCGCTCTTTCTCTCGGCTTCTCTGGTCCAAAAAACTGGCAGTGACACTTACAAATTGGATTTTCGACATCAGCAACAAGACCTGAAGGACACACCATTATCGGGTGGCGGCATAGAATCGCTTAAAAAGATATCCCAAATAAATAATGCCGCATGTAAATAACAACAAATCAATTTTTAAATAGACAGGATGAACCCAAGCATACACAAACAAAAACAGGACCTTATATCTGACAACAGTGAACCCTCTTCATCAGTGGGCTTAATGCGTGTGAGTTTTTTTTTGTTTTTTGGAACTGTGGTTACAAGTTAACAACATTTCTTAAGAAAAAAATTTAATAAGTTAAAAATCTATAAACATTTTTTGAGATTACAATAGCAAAGCAAAAAAATCTATATTTTAATGGCTACCAGCTAATGGTTTCAACTAAGTTAATTTATTTTTTCTTATGTTAACTTAGCTAATTGTGCTAAAAGGGCTTTCAGCTAAAATAAATAAAACCAAGATTTTTACACTTGTTGATATTAAGTTTCGTAACTGAATAACAACTGTTTTATTAACTTGAAATGAATTGCAGTTACCTTCACTCGATTGAACCACTGTGCCTTAGCCTGGGGCAAAAAGGTCTTTCTCGCTGTCAGAACCAGGCACTTTCACTTAGCCAACGGCAATGGCTTTGATAGATCCCAGTTCACAGTAGGCCACCAGGTAGCCATTCATCTCGCACTCCCCAAAACCACTCCCCGAATTTCGGAGACAGAGATTGTTGGCTGACTTTTGCGGGGACCTGTGTAACTTGACTGTTCATGCGGTTCATTGACATGGCAATAAGAGGGGCTGGGCGTTGGGGCCAATTTAATTTTGATTAATTGCGGTAAATGTTGTGTTAATTTGCTACGACTTTTTTGTATCGCTGCCTTGGCTGTCTGTCGACCGATTTAAGATAAGCGACTAATGCGATACTATTAGTGGGCGGGTCGGTAAACTAATTTTCTAACAAAGCCTGTCGTCACACATTGTGTTTGAAAAGGCTATAGTGTGTGTGTGTGTGTGAGCCGATTTGTCTGGGTTGACAAACACTAATTAATTGCAATGAGCTCGACTTAAAAAGGGTTCGCCTCCTGCTGTTCATTGAAGCCTTCTAATTATTCGAAACCCAATCAATTGTTTTAAAGCATATAGAATAAAATTAAAAACACTTTGTATGCTAACTTGGATAAAAAGGTTTAAAGTTTTTTTTTCAAACATTTGATAGGTCCCCCTTTGCTTTTTTGCAATATGATTTGATCACTTTTATACCCGTTACTCTAAGAGTTAAAGGGTATTTTGAATTTGTAAAAATTATGTAACATGTCGAAGGAAACACATGTGACCCCATAAAGTATATATGTATATTCGTTATTATATATAAACACACTTAAACAGAGTTATTTACTCACACAATGTTGTCAAATTTTCATTAAAAAAAAATGAAATCTTAATTTAAAACTAACTTTTAATTCATACACCATTAAATACGACATGCTTAAAATATCGACTTATATTTTTTCTAAAAGCGCCCTGTGCTTCTAAATAAAAATCGCTGATAAATAAATTTTTTGTTTTGTAGTTGAAAAATTTTCATTTTATTTTTCTTTAAAAATCAAAAAGCATTTCTTCTGTTAGATTCCTTTCTAAATCCAAAATATTGTTTTTTATTAGATAATGTTAGATGTATTCATAATTTTTATTTTTGGTCAGGATCATAAGAAGTGAATACAAAAGCCAATTTACTTGATTTTGGTTTTCAATGTAGAAGTACCTCGAGCGGGTGTAAATTTAAAGGTTTCGGCTCAGCTACGGTCTTTTAGAAGCCATTGCGTCCCGAAACGCCTGTTGTTGGATTTCCGTTTTCATCTGTATGGCCTGTAGTTGACCTTCCATCTCTTCCTGCAATCTGTCTATTTTTGCCTGAGTTGCAGCTTGTTGTCCAGCTAAATATCTGAACCACTGTTGCTGGTGTAGCGCAATCTGATCAAGAAAGCCTGACTCCTGGTTTTGAGCTTGGCTTCCCCACAGTCCGCAAACCGTGAAGAGCCATAAAAAATAGAAGTAACTCAGCATACTTGGCGTGTAAGACCTACGAGTCCAAAGCTTCGTAACTAACTGCTTCTCGGTTTGTTACAGATCTTGACGTGATAAATGTGATCAACTGCAACTAATTAAGTTTGCAATCAAGAAAAGAATGCAGCTTCGGCGAGACGAAGCTTATATAATTTTGAGCAAAATGCATAAATGCTAATCAATATCGAAGCAAAGGCGATTATTCTATTATTTTCATATACTTTCACCGATCGTTCCTATGACAGCTATATAAAATAGTTTTCCGATTTTTTCTTATTCCAAATTTAAGAGTCGATGGAAAACTCTTTCTCACAAAAATCATATTTGCATGATTAAAAACAAGGATGTTTTTCGTTATTTTGATCGTGATGGTGATCAAGAGTATACATATATACTTTATGGGGTCTGAAGTTTCTCCTTCACTGCATTGCAAACTTCCAAATATAGTACCCCATATTAGGTTATACAAAAACCTGAAAAAAATACTGAACTTATCTAAAAAAAATTTTCCCTAAAAAATGTATTTTGTTCTGTATTAAAAGACCTAAATTAAAAGATCGACATTTGAATTTATTCAGCACAGTTTCATTGTTTGAATAAGTTTTTAAACTTTGACATTTCACATTTTATCCTAAGTTTTTATTAGCCAGGATTTTCAATCAATTGCAATCATTGATCACTTTGACAAATAGAGAGGTATTCATCCCAACAATTTGGACTCCACATTTTCCCCACGTACATATTCACACATTCGTTTTCATTGTTGGTCGGCCGCTTATCTGCCCATCTGAAGTATGGTGGACGCTCGCCGGTGCGAGTGGAAAGAAAAACTCCTTTTTTGGCCAATGAGGTGGCGTCCAACCAATATGCACCTGGAATGACTTTCCCGTTGACGGCTTGTAGTTCCTCCAGGTCGTTGAATGTAGCCAAGTAGCCACCGAGTCGGCGACATTTGTTAAATGCTTGAAACCAATTTAATCGTTCTTGCTTTTCAATGTAGAAGTACCTCGAGCCAATCTTTTCAAACAGATTTGATGGCCGTTGAGAAACTCTTTGTGAAGAAGAATTTAAAGGTTTCGGGTCCACAATGGCTTTCTTTAGTTCTTCTATATCATCCTTCATTTTGTCCATAACGACCCGAAGCGACTGTTGTTGGATTTCTGTTTTCACCTGTTGCGCCTGTAGTTGGCCTTCTATGCTTTCCTTTAGTCTGTCTATTTTTGCATTAGCTTCAGCCTGATTTGCCGCTGTGTATCTGAACCACTGTTGCTGGTGGTTGGCTATCTGATCAAGCAAGCTTGGCTCCTGGTTTTGAGCTTGAGTTCCCCACAGTCCGCAAACAGTGAAGAGCCATAAAATATAGGAGTACCTCCACATATTGAGTGTGTAAGATCTGTAATCCAATCTTCGAAACTAACTGTTTCTCGGGTTGTTAAATAATATGTGATAAACCTTTAATATGTGATAAACCGCAACGGATTCAGTTTGAGAAAGAAATAATGAAAATGTGCATGACCGAAACTTTATCAACATATGTAAATGCCAGCATATGAAAGACGCCTATACGGCTAGAATTTTTCAGAAAACTGTATTTATTTTCTCTGGTGTGGGATTCAAACAGGAAAATATGGCCTATGCAGAGGTGGCAATTGCTGTTATTATCTTTCAACCCCCCGCACAGCAACCTTTGGTGTGGACAAATCTTAAAGTGGTTACCAACAAAACTGAAGTTAACTGTCTACTTTTATTTTCATACATTTCTCTTTTAGTTCACGAAACTTTGCACAAGATTTTTACTCTGGGAACTTTTGTTTGAAACTGATAAATAATGCAGAAGAGTTTCCCTTTTTTAATGCATATTTTTATATAAAAGTCTAGCTAAAAAATCAAAAAGCATTTATAAATTAAAAATTTATTTATTCACAGCTCAATTTTTTTCTATTCATTGCTTTCTAAACCCAAAAGTTGTTTTTTTTTTTTTTAAATGAGGTTAAACATTTTCGTCGTAATTTTAACGTTTGGTCAGGATTTTTGGAACTACAAAAGAAAAAACGGGCAAAATATAACAACCGTATCGTAAAAATATTGGTTTATAGTCTCATTGTTCACTTTGGCAAACAAAAAAGTATTGATCAAAACAATTTTCATTGTACATTCCCGTGCCGTACAGATCTACACAACGAAAATTTTTGTCATTCGGTCGCCCTTTTGCCCATTTAAAGAATGGTGGACGTTGCCCGGTGCGTGTAGAAAGAAACACCCCTTTTGTGGCCAATGAGGTGATGTCCAACCAAAACACACCTGCAACTAATCTCGGGTAGATTGCCTGTAGTTCCTCCTCGTCGTTGATTGTAGCCAGGTATCCACCGAATCGACGACATTTGTTAAATGCAGCAAACCAATTTGCACGCTCATGCTTTTCAATGTAGAAGTATCTCGAGCCAATCTTTTCAAACAGATTTGAAGGCGGTGGTGATACTCTTTGTAAAGAAGAATTTAAAGGTTTCGGGTCCACAATGGCTTTCTTTAGTTCTTCTATATCATCCTTCATTTTGTCCATAACGACCCGAAGCGAGTGTTGTTGGATTTCTGTTTTCACCTGTTGCGCCTGTAGTTGGCCTTCTATGCTTTCCTTTAGTCTGTCTATTTTTGCATTAGCTTCAGCCTGATTTGCCGCTGTGTATCTGAACCACTGTTGCTGGTGATTGGCTATCTGATCAAGCAAGCTTGGCTCCTGGTTTTGAGCTTGAGTTCCCCACAGTCCGCAAACAGTGAAGAGCCATAAAATATAGGAGTACCTCCACATATTGAGTGTGTAAGATCTGTAATCCAATCTTCGAAACTAACTGTTTCTCGGGTTGTTAAAGCCCTTTAATATGTGATAAACCGCAACGGATTCAGTTTGAGAAAGAAATAATGAAAATGTGCATGACCGAAACTTTATCAACATATGTAAATGCCAGCATATGAAAGACGCCTATACGGCTTGAATTTTTCAGAAAACTGTATTTATTTTCTCTGGTGTGGGATTCATACAGGAAAATATGGCCTATGCAGAGGTGGCGATTGCTGTTATTATCTTTCAACCCCCCGCACAGCAACCTTTGGTGTGGACAAATCTTAAAGTGGTTACCAACAAAACTGAAGTTAACTGTCTACTTTGATTTTCACACATTTCTCTTTTAGTTCACGAAACTTTGGGAAAGATTTTTTCTCTGGGAACTTTTGTTTGAAACTGATAAATAATGCTTTTAAGGCAGGCAGTCGCAAACAATAAAATCAATCCGGGTTGTTTGTCATTTGGCTGCATTTTGCCTGCAAGCAAACAAGTCACAAAGAGTTTTCCATATCATTTTTCTTGCCATCAATTTTAAATATCTTGAATTGGGAATACATAATACTAGGATAGAAACGAAAGAGTTTAAACTAAAAATCTCCTCGTTTTTATAACCATAATGAATGAGAGGACTTATTAAAACAAAGTGTTACGACTGGATTATAATAGCTGAAACAACTAGACTAAAAGTTCTAGATTTGTAAAAAATTGATATTAACTCATTGCTTTGGAAGCTTGATTTCATACTATTAATTATATATATTTGTTATTGTAGGAACATTAACCCCGAATCACTTATTGACAAACACACTAAATTTAAAATTAAAATTACGTTTTTTAATGAATTTCAAAAATTTAGTAACAGATAAAACGCGATTAAAAATTTTTAAAGAAAATGAATGCATTTTTGTGTAAAACCAAGTCTCATTGGTCTCTTTGGCAAATAAATAAGTATTTATCTCCACAATCAATACTATACACCTCCGATCGGTACACATCTGCACAAAGATTATCCTGGGTAAAGAGCTACCGGAAAAGCAGATCAATATTGTATATAGAAGACAGAAAGTAAAATGTAGTTTTCAATCAAACATATAAATTTGACTAGTTCACTTTCCCGTATATATTTATATCATTGAGCAAGTAGAATAAACTGGAGTAATGGAAGTCCTGGCAGTGGGAGTGGCAGCTTTTTTCCAGCTGATGGGCTGCTACTTTTTCTTCGCACAGCCGAAGGATCGCTGTTCGTCAGCTCCCGACTTGGCCAGTTGGCTTTTTCTGGGAGCCACATTGTGTTACCTCTGGGATGCTAACATTTATCCTCGACGTTTCATGCACATGCCACGCTACTGGAAACTTATAATTGAGATCGTGGCTGCCATTTTTCTGACTGAGTTGGGCACAATTATCATTTGGTGCGGCCTCGAAAGATTCCTCTTCGGACTGACGAATGATCTGCTGAATCTTGGCTACACTGAGTGTAATCCATCTCCTTATGCCTATGGATACTGGCTGTCGGGAGTAGTCACCTCCTTGGTGAGCGGTGCGGTCTTGTGGTATGTGCTTAAAGCCACCGATGGCACATATTATTTTATAAAGTTCACAGAAAATCTGCGAGCTATCGTGCACGATTATTGGCAGATGTTCCGCTGCTATAAAACCATGAATTCAAGAGGAAGACGTCGGGCTTTGAGGGTTTGTCAGTTGGCCAGGAAAACGCCATGTCGCCGGCCTAAAACTCGAATGTGTTGTCCACAGGAGGATGATGAAAGTGACTGACTATAGACCCTGTTCATTTTTTTTTGGCAGTCTTATTTTTCTAAAATGATAAGAATAATTTTTTTTTAGTAAAATAAAAATAAAACTCTAAAAAAAATACAAAATCTAAGGGAATGCATTTTTAGGTATGTTTATTTATCCTATAAATTTCACGAACTTGTAAAAATATTTTCTTTTTGATTGTGGCTATTATCTCACTAAGTAATACTACAAAATTCTTTTTATATTAAGTTGTACCAGTCGAAATGCCTACATTGTGTTGGTGAAAAGCTTATGTCTTCGTATAAGTGGTCTCGATTATTCATCGAAAGAAACATCTCTCATACGCCCCGTCAGCCACACCCCACAGCTGTGTGTGTGTGAACGTGGCCATAACAAACACTCGCACAAAGCAAAACCGACCCAAATACACAAAAAAAAGGCAACTGAAAATGAATAAAAATGGGCGTGTCAGACGAGTTGCAGACAATCAGAGAGCACATTTGGAGATTGCCGTGCATTTCTAGGCAGCAATCACCACCATATGCTAACTTTGATTACTTCTTCTGGCTTTTATCACCGCCTCCCAATCCCCAAATTCCCAGCTATTCCTGGAGAAACGCCTAGGAAAAGGCAGGCAGGGAAGGCGAAGAAGAAATTGTATTTCATTTTCCTGGGCCTGAGAGCAAAGACGAAACCGGATATGCGACATTTTATCAAGTCAGGCATAAATCAGCAGCTTATGCTGGGATTCCAGCGGGAGATGGGCGAGTACCATTTCCTCGCCTTGGCTCGGTTTTCACTTGCGTTTACTGCTGCTATTGCTGTTGCTGTTCTCCTGCATGTTTGAAACTGGCAAATAATTTATTTTGCATAAATTTGCCAGCACTTAACGATGGGGATCTACGCCACACCTACGAGAAGCGAAGAACGAGTGCGAGGAATATGTTCCGTGTGCGGGTCACGCTGAATTATGCCATCTAATTTGTCTGCAGGCAGGTGGTGCTCATTAATCTTTCCTCGCTTATGAGCGGCTCCACCATCTCCGCCTCCGTCTGTTTTTTTTTTTTTCTTGCCACACTGCCGCAGCACACTCCTGGGATTCTGTGCCGCAGATAAGCTCTTCGCCTTTGCAGCGCGCTCACGTAGCAGGTTTGCGATTTCCTTTGCCCGCTTCGGTGCCAGGCGAAGGATTTTACACGGCGATACCCTTTCATCGGGTTAAGTGTGTCACATATAATGGGTAAACACAAATATTATTTAGAATAAAATAAAAATAGGTAAAAAAAACTTTTTAAGCTAAACCGTTTTATGGAAAACATACATTGCAATGTTTAAGATAAATATATAAAAAACCAAAAAATAATATAAAATAGATACAAACGTGGGAATTATAAACATATGCATAGACTAGACTAAAATAAAACCGTGGGCACGTCAATTGTCTACAATCGTTGATTAAAATGTTTGTTTGCCCCACGGTTTTATTTTAGCCTAGAATATCTAGTATAAAAAAATGTATAATAATTAAAAATAGTTTCATCAAGTGATAGGAACGATGTTCTATTATTTCCTTACAGATACTTTACGAGTAATCTTAATATGTTGTTAATGTAATCCTTTTAAATAAAAATGTTGTTTAAATACTGTAGGATTGCGGGCCAACAAAAATATATTTTAAGTTTTATATCTATACGAAAAAGAAAAAGTAAAAGAAATTTTATTTAAGTTACATATTTTGTGTGGAGTTTAGATATATTTTACAGACTAAATAGTTCTTATTTTCAACAAAATTACAAATTTAATAAAAGTATGCCTTAAATATATTTCCGAGTTGTCCAAAACACATAGCAGGGTATCCACATATCCTGGGTAAACAGGACTCGTGCAACTTCACCCGCATAGTTCCGTACCTGACTCCCGCTTAATGCTTAATGGATTTGCGCTTTGATGTGCCAACTGCGTGTACGTGTATCAAAATCGTACTGTGGTGGTCTGTGTGTTTGTGTGAGTGTGTGTGTTTGTTGGCCTGGTTGTAAGTGGTTAAGTGTCTATATTAGACGCCATCACTTGCAGTCTCCCATTTCTAAGGGCCCGATGGTATTTTTTGGCCGTGTTTTTTGGTCCATTTTACTGCAGAGGTGGCAAGCATAAATTTCCCTCTAAATGGCCTTATGAGAGCGGCCTCGAAGCTGATCCTCTGTTTATGACCTGGCCAAATGAAATGTGAATGGGAGTCGGATTCGCATTTGGCCATAGCAGCCGGTGAGTGAGAGTGGCTCGTGTTGGCCCTTTTAAATTAAAAATCCTGCCCGTGGCTTCTGTTTGGGCCGCCCTGAAATTGAATTTTCCTTCCGTCCCGGTTTGATTAGCATAAAATGCGGTACGTGTCTTGGTTAGACTGGAAAACGTGAAAAACGTGTGGTGATGATGATGATGGGCTTGTATTGAAACCATAGAAAAATGAAATGCTTTTTCAAAGAATTTTTATTTCTGTTAAAATTTAAATTTTTTTTGCACACCACATTATTTCTTTATTTATTTACTTTTTCCGGATCTCATTTTTTCTTCAACATTTAAAAATTCGCTTTGTTTGTAAACATTTTCGGTTTTCTTTTATTCTTGACACGTTACTTACAACTAGTGTTGTAGAAATGTTTTTCCACTGCTCTCGGCATTTAATTAATAAAATTAGGTTGTTCTTCAGATTATTTATATACACACAGATTTTAGTTCAAAGTATTTTTGTAATTTACGTTCAGCCGGGTTCTCATTTCCTGTCTGTGGTGGGTGATTTCATTCAAAAGGATTTAATTCTTCAATCGATTTCAATATGCAGTGGTTTTTGCATTTACCGGACTAATCTTAGTTATTTGCTAGGCAAAAGATTAATATTAGTTTAGTATCTCACTTGTGTTTTTTAAACTAACTATAATCCTATTGAAACAATATTTATTTCAATGAGCAATGGTTTGCAGCAGTTTTTCTTATATCAAAAGAATCCTTCTCGATTTCATTTAAGAATATGTAAAATTAATTTAATTAACTTTTAGCTAAAAAGTTTGTTTATGAATTAACAATAAATATTTATTTACTCCTCGGATTTTACTTAATTTCAAATTTTTGGTTTGGGATATAGGAAAACATTTTTTTTTCTAAATTGAACAGTATTTAAAGCAACGTTTTCGTTTTACATTTTAAAGTAAAGAATCTATATATTTAAACAAGAAAAACGCTTCAATCGGCAAGCCGAAATCCTCACACAACAATTAGGCAATTATTTAACATTTTAATCATAGATTAGCTAAGTAATAAAGATTTAATTTAGAACGACGTACACTCAGACCAACGGATTTGATTATACTGACTAATTGGAACTAATTTCCCCTTCTCATTCTTTTTGGGCTGATATCTATTTAAATCTATGGTTCAAATAGTTTCCACATTCTCTTACAAGCTTTTGTTCAAAGCTTTTAATCCTTTTCTTACACAAGGATCTGAATCAAAATTGTTCATGTTTTTTGTTAATCCTGTTAGCACATCAAAAACTATAAATATTGGACCAAAAATTACCATTGAACCTTATTTAAAGTCAAATATGTCTTCTACTGTCTTCTTTTGTGTTCAGTTTCATTTCGTTTTGGTTAGTCCTTGACCGCCATACTCAAATATTTACAGTTCCCTGCGTTCTACTCTCCGCTCTTTGTGAACTTCGTCGAATAAATCAATTAACATTTATGGGAATAAATGTCGAAGAATGAAAACTTAAGACAGCGACCCCAAAGGACTATTTACAAGGTCAACCACACACAAACTGAACTCAAGAGGGCAAAGTGGGTGAGATGATAGGTTAGAATGGAATGGGAAAGGACATCTAGGACACGAGTGTCGTGGCCGTTTTAGTTTTTGGCTGTCGTCGCCTTTTGTGTGCGACTTGTCGACACAGTTTTTGCTCGCAAGTTCATTGAAATGGTGGCAGTCAATGTGTCAGATAAACAAGCCCAGTGACACTTTTGGCCATGATTCAGAGTGTCTGATCCGGGAAACGGAGCGTGAGAGTCAAGTGTGGGAATTTATAGTTGGCCATGCAATTTTTGTCCCAAGATTTGCACAATAAACACCTTGACGTGCTGGAAAATGGAAAATGGGAAAATATCAACCGATGGGTGGTGCTACAAAGTTGGCTGACTGCACACAAGTGGTCACATTTATATGGACGATATGTTTGCCTTATATGCGGGCAGATCCTCTCTTGACCCCCGTCCATCTCCATCTCCATCTCCGTTTTCGCTCTCGCTTTGTCTGCAGGACTCTGGCCGGACGTGCCCCGGCTGCAGGATAGCCCACCCACACACCCACACAGACAAACAATCGTACATGCACGCTGCCAATGACAGTTGTCAACATGACAGTTATAAGGACACTGATACAAATGTTACGGATGTTTGTCTTGGCCAGACAAGAAATGCTTGCCGCATGCCGTGGGCCGAGAGCAAAGATTGATTAAAACTGCTGATAAATGATGGCGAAGTGGGGAGTGTTCCAGCTTGAAATTAATCGAAAACAGTGGCAGTGCTTTTCCGATTTAAATTTCGAAAGATTACTGGCGGAAAAGAATAGGAATTAGAGGTTTATTATAACTTAGTACATACTTTTGCTATAGCAGCCCTAATGTTTTATTTCTTTTCTTTACGATTTAAAAATAATTAAAATCATCGTTTTTTGTTAAACATTCAAGACCATGTTAGTTTAAATAGCTTTTGTTTGAGAACATTTTGAAAACTCTGCCTTTCTACTTGATTTGACTTCAATTTATATGCTGTTGAGCAACACAAGCTTAATTTTAAATTTTATTTACATGCTCAGCAGATTTTAGTTAATGGGACATTTAAATTCAGAACCAAGAATTGTTGCAGACTTTGGTGAACTGCGACAACAATTCGGTTTCATTTTTAATGTGGGCTGCAAGCTAAACTGTATAAAATTATTGGAAAATTATACAGATCTCCTACTTTAACCCTTTACATGGCAATAACTCCGATTTTCTTCATTTTTTTTTTGTTTGGTAGATAAGTGAAAATAAAAAATACACTTTTTTTATTTTTTTAATTTTTTTGGTTTTACCTTATTTTTTCTATGTGTAAAGCTACTTTAATGCATATCTGCAACAAGGCAAAATTGTTGATTTATTCGTATTATAATGCAACAAACACAAAAACTCGACAATATATAACTAAATATAATTTTTACCTGTTTATAAATATAAATTAAATTAACTATACATTTTTTTTTTTTGATATTTAAATTTGGATGAGAAACTGCACAACCAGTTCAGATTTCCACATTCACCAAATTGGCGGGAAAAGTAATTATCTGTTGAGTATTGGACAGAATTCTGAGTGACTAACACTTGTTATATAAAAAACGAAAGTTTCTGAACTGCATCAAAAAGATTTCAGAAAGTTTTGCAACGCCCGTTGAAAAATAAATGAATTTGAACGGTATGATGCAGATATGCATCACCACCATGTAAAGGGTTAAAGTTCAACAAAATCGTGACCATTCGAAAGAGAACTGAGAAAACGTTTGAGTATGATTGACCTTGATTTTGGTTGCTCCTAAGAGAAACAGTTCTTACTTAAGATTTTGTGCGGTACTTTAACCAGAAAAAGTACCATTCAGCATTAAAGTTAGAGTTGCAGATAGCATTTTACAATTCATTCACATAACATTTACACTTTAGTTCTTGCCACCGATTCAACGATTCAGCGATTTACAGTTTAGAGCAGTTTTAGGCAGTTTACTGTCAGAAGTTGGTAAATCCGCTTTAGTGAGGGAAATCCCAGTTAATGTCGGGCAATCAGTGCCGAGGACCAATGTAGATTCCCCCAATGCTATCGTTACTATCCCCGCCCACACAACTACCATCTCCTTCGTCGTCCTCCTCCTCATCCTCCTCCTCGTCCTCGTTATCCATAAGGCCATCGTCCAATCGGATAACATCCGCTCCGTTCTCCTGGTTGCTCTGGCCATTGTTAATGGTCCCACCTTCGTAGGTATCACTGTCCTCCACCAGGCAGCAATCCCCGCACTCGTCCGTCGAGGAGTTCACCTCATCGCTGAGATCATCGAGCAGCGTCACCTTGGGAGCCCGGAATTCATCCTGGCAGCCCATCGGAACGCCGGCGGAGGCCACCGAAATCTTGATGTTGCAATTCGTGGAGGCGTGGCAGGCGTGGGCGTGTGGAATCGGTTGCTGGATGTTGGCCACCTGGGAGGAAGTTCCGTGAGCGGCCCGGAAACTCAGATTCGGAGTCCGTTGACCCATGCTGGCCATTCCCGGTGGCATTTGCGTATGCGACATGCTCAGTGTGGGCGGTACGTTCAGTACCGCCGCTCCACCGCCTCCTGTCTTGTGGGCGGGATGGGCGTGGCCCGAGTACATCAACTGGTGCGTATCGGAGGCCAAATTGTGGGCGGTCAACTGTAGGGGATGCTGATCCTTGCGTTCTGTCGAGTGGAGAAAGCAGATGGGAGAAAAGAGAAAGGAGAAATGAGAAATGAGAAGGGAGATGGCACCTATAAACACTTCAGTTTGCAAAGTATCTCAAGGATGCGAACACGGAAGCGGAAGTGCATTCGAGGACGTGTCGGCGATTGGTTTATCGCCACCACAATGTGCAGGCATCTGCGAGGACTTCGAGTGAACGAACCGCCACTTCGCGTCCTTCAGCACTTCCGCTTTTCATTGGTCTGGTTTTGGTTTTGCGAACGGGAAAGATTGGAAAGTAGAAGCTGCCAGTACCCTGTCTTCAATTGTAGGAGAAATCAAAATAATGAAACTGAAAAAAATGCACCTTCTATTTTAAATATACATATGTAGGTATGTATATAGACCATCAAAACCTCTGTATGTTATGTTGGTGTACAATATTTAAAAGAATATTTGAAATTCAAAATTAACTTAACCAAATCTTGAGGGATTGGATTTAAATAAAATAAATACTAGACTTTGAAAAAGAACTTTTTTCAAGTCGGTGTGGAACCAGAATAGCAATTTCTAAATATATTTTAAGTGTGCCGAAACTCTTTAAAAAATATATACTGTATAATGTTTTGGTTTGACCGTTTGCCAGTAGCTTAAGTTATATATAAAATGACTAGAAAATTGTTTGTTTTTTTTTCTGAGAATTTGTGCAAAGATCAGGATTAACTGTCAAAATGTGCATTTAAATACTACCCAAAATAGATTTAATAGTTGAAATGGTTAAAATAAACAAAATGAACTAAAAGATTAGTGAGTACTCCCCGCTTTTAAAGTACAGCGACTCGCAGGGGTGTCGCAACTTCCCGTGGAGGTCCTGACAAGGACCATTGTCCTGGCCGCACAATGGCTCTCAAACTATGTGTGTGGCTACAAGTGGGTTCAACTGCGTTGGCCTCACCTTTTCCGCCGCCCCCTTTGCCCGCCCCGCAATTATCTGTTCGCAAAACTTTCAGCTAACGCGTTCCAAAGGGGGAAAATCCCTCCGACTGGCGGAAAACCCGTCATCAACTCACCGAGGGGGCCGAGAAGTTTCGGCTGGAGCGGCAGCATGAAGTCGTGGCCAGTCGTCGCCGCCCGCGGCTGAAGGCTCTGCACCGCCGGCACACTCAAGTAGTCCGCTGCAAAGTCAGAGGAGCCGGCCGGAAAAGCCGGGGAAATGCGTTAGTGCCGTCGGAGCAAACAATGTTACGGTGGCCGAGCCAAGGCAAAAGTTTCCCCACCCCCCCCAAAAACAACCGAAAAGAAAACAAACACGAAGAGAAAAAAACCAAGGGGAATGAAAAACCCAAGAGGTTGTCGGGTTGCTTAACAAAACTTTAAAAAGGCACGCAACAAAAATTTCAACTACATAGCATAAAAAAGTTGGCGGCAGGACACAAAAGAAAAAAAGACAGCGAAAAGTTGCGAAATCATTTTTAATATTTCTATAGATAAGTGCAAGCATATATACAGCGTTATCATTTCTATCAACGGGCACTTGACGAGCTGACATGAACCAACTTTTAAGTTGCCATAACTTCAAGTGGGGGAAAATCTATTTGCAACAAACTTTAAACACACAAAGTTTAAAGGAGGCTTAGGCAAAGATCAGCTAAAGAAGTTAAAGTGATGATATTTAGAAAAAGGCTGCAGGAAATAAATACAATAAACAGAAAATAAAACAGAAAAGCGCATCAGTAATTTAATTTAAAGAGTCATTCAAATAAAGCTATAGCAAAATTACATCTTAATAAATTGCATTCACTTTAAATTTATTATTACATTCCAAGTAGTCTTCTCTTCTAGAAAACATTTTATTCAATAACAACATTCAGTTACAGCAATTGAAATTTCTCAATGGCTTTTCTCCACTTAACAAAACAATCTATCAAAGGACCGTCTTTTTTCGACAAACTTTTAAGTTTAAAAGACAGTCGCTGAGAAGTTGTTACCGCGAAAAGTGCTTTACTTTCGCAGTTTGTATTTGAGCTAGTGAAACAACTTTAAATATTAAAATTAATTTTCGCATATTCCCAAAGGACTTGGTGGTGTTGAGAACAAAATGAAATTACAGCGAGTGGATGCTGGTTGAGGAATGGGTTGGGATTTTTCCACAGATGCCCAGATGCCTTTAGGTGAGTGGGCAATCGACAGCCAGAGCTGGCCTTAATTGAAATTCCTGGCCGACGGTCTGCCTTTGGCACGAAGTCTTGGCCCACCGTGGCCATAAATTGTTCAAGCCCTTGTTGCTGTACTGTGCCAAAGTGTAAAAGTGTGTGCTCGGTAAATGACCACTACAACATCCCAGAAGTAACCCGCTAGCCACTTGGCCTGCTAATGATTTAGTTGCTATTTGTGTGCCCTCCAATTTGCATCCGAAAGCGAGGAGCAAAAGTATTTTCCCCTCGAGTTTCCACACCTTGGCATAATGCAAAGCAGCTTAGAAAGCCAAGTGGGGTGGTAAACAGGTTCCTGGCCAAATGTCACCGCTCCTGCATTTCCGGCGAACACAGAAATGTCATTTCCCCCGGTTTAGAACGTGCCAAAGTATGCAACACTTTTTCTAGCTGACTTTCTTCAAAAAAAATGGGGCCATTTGTGTTTTATAAGCAGCTTATACAAAAGTTTCGCTACGTGTGTACTGTTCTTAAAATAATAACAAAGCAAGCGCTTAATAATTACATTTCTACTTGACTGACACCATAAATAGAGTAAGCCATTAAAAGTCAGAGAACGGGGTCAAAACTTGAACCACTTTTCTAAATATTAAAAATAAAAAGATATTAATAAAAAGAAAAAGTGGTGGTAAAACAAATACAAAATCCTTGTCATATCTGAATTTCAGTCGCTGAACTTTTCCATGTACAACTACGTCTCAAAACTTTGAGCTCCTTTTTGAATTAGCATTTATGGCTCTTTTTTCTTTTAACACTTTCCCATGCAACCCCATTCCCCTCATCCTTAGCATACAACATCCGAGTAAGTTGAACTAAACAACTTTCAACTTTCGACTGAATTCTTTTTCTTCCCACTTTTCACAAGCTCACAAGTGGCTCAAGAAATTAATCGCCTTGAGAGCCGCAAACTGCCTTCCGTTTTCCCCATTTGAGTCCGGTCCTTACTTTTCCTGGACAAAAAAAAAAGAAAAGTCAAGATTTGAGCCTGCACACTTGAGCTTTTGTGGCTTTAATTAAAATGCACATCATGCAGAAATTTTCCTGACCAGGTTCCTCTCATTATTTTATTTTTTTTTTCGGCAGGTTTTTCTTTACGATATTTTTACACTTTTCATTCAATTTTATTTCACGTTTGTGAGTCGGGCTATTTTCCAGAGCTTTGCTGGACGGGCGAGCAAATGGAAAAAGTTTTTCAATTTGTTTGACGATAAATGAACTTTATTTCTATATGTGTTTGAGGGCTTAGGTGTGGGCCAGAGCATATAGAATGTGTGCGTCCGTGTGGCCTTTTGAAATATGACATAAAAAGGATTTTCGCCTAGCATAATAAAAATGTAATTAAAGTTAAATGCCGAAAATAAAAAGAAGTTGCAAAAAGCTTTTAATATGCAAATAAACATAAAAAAAGTTTGCCATTTTCTGCTTTGTGTTTGCTGCAAGCTCTTTTATTGACTGACTCTCGCAGTGACAAAGTTATAGCATTCGGCTGAAATTTATAGCATGCGATAAATTTTAACAGGCTTGGGGGAATGACTGCAAGGAACGGGAAAGAGTTTTTCGACCCGTAGGACTAATTGCTGCAAGCCCATAGGAAGGTCTTTTACACGCATTAAGAGAAAATCCTACACTGACAAAAAATTTAAGTGTTCTTTATTTTTTTTATAAGTGAAATAACAGAAAAAATTTAATAACAATGTGTTAAGATTTTCCTACTTAGATTTTAGTTACACAAAAAACTGACCTTATCAATTAACGTTGGCAAATAACTGAACCCTAGTAAAATGGAAAAAAACCTTACAGTTTTCGATTAAAAATAATCGCATCTTTAATATACATATTACCATTTTAAAACACAAAGTCTTTAATAAAGATTTCAGCACATAATTTCATTTAAGTTTAAAACATTAAAAGATGTCTTAAGAAGAAGAAGTTTTTCGTGTTTCTCGTAAAATACCTAAATGTTATTTAAATACTAAAAACAAAGTTCTAGTGCAATTTTCGTTCAGTGCTTTCACAGGCATCAAAATAAAGTTCCTGTAAATGGTTAGCAAACATTTGTACACGTGCAGCATGCCAAGACAAGACAGAGACAAAGAGCGACGAAGGGACTCAAAGAGAAAGGGGCGGTGAAAGGAGGAAGAAGAAAGTAGAAGGTGGAAGGTGAAGAGGGTGTGGGGGAAAGACGGATAGACACAAGACAAGACAACACTTACAACTGATGAAGGAGGGACCGGCGGGGGCGGCGGCGGCGGCTGTGGCAACGGCAGCCGAAGCAGCTGAGCCAGTGAGCGATGCCGCCGATGACGTCATCGCCGCCGTAGCGTGGGCATGGACATGGCCATGGGCGTGGCCGTGACTGTGGGCGGGCAGCGGGGGCGGCTGAAGCATAGGCACTTGGTAGGTCATTGCCGACATCGGCGTCGGATCTGCCATTATAGTCGTCGACATCGTTGGCGTCGTCGTCGTCGTCCTTTGCGCAGGATGCAGGCCAATGACATTGACGCCGTTCACGTTCACGGTGCCTGGGATTACCGACGACCGAACGGCGGACGGATGCATTTACATTCGGATACACATATACAACACACGCATTCGTTTACATTTCGTTACACCAACACACACAAAGTAACAATTACAAGTACAATAGACCAACATTAAGGAACAAAAGTAAAAGGAAATCAATTTAAGAACAATATGCAACACCAAATTGATGGGAATATAATCAATAATATATATTGAGGAAAAGACAGCGGGAAAGATTTTTAATTTTTAAAGGCTCCAAACAATAATTAAAACATTTAACAATTAAAGAGCGAATCGAATGGGTTAGCAAATATACAACAATTTGAGTAGCAATGTTTTTTTTAATAATAAAATAAAGATTAATACTCAATGGTGATTGATTTCTAAAATTAGTTATATACGTTAATAAATAGTAATTCAGAGAGTAAAAATTCCTAAAGTCAGCGTTAATAAACAGTAACTTAGAGAGTAAAAATTCCTAAAGTCAGCTTAAACTATAATAAACTACAAGTTTTAATCCACTGAAGAAATCTTTTAAGAGTACTCCGTTTATTTCCATTTCACCATTACTAGACAAATGTTTGATTATTAATTGTTGGCCCGAAGGCCGGCTCCTATAAGGACCATAAATAATCGGGATTATCTCGAGTCAACATTAATGGACTTAACAGCAGCGGGTAGGTTTACTGAGAGCTGGGGAAATATCCACAAGTTAAAATTGGGAGCATTAAGCAAACCCGAAGCGATTATAAATCGTCGTACGACATTAAATTTATAACCTCTGGTGAATCCGAAATTGCCCTGCAATTGCAGTTGCTGCAAGCAGAGGATAGTGGGAAATCTTGTCTTCGGTTGACTGCACATACTATATATATAGCACATGAAATATATATGCATCCACTTAAGTCCTTCGGCCCTCGGGGAGTGCAGCCTCATCAGCATCAGCATCCGAGCATCAGCATTCGCATGTGGTGAAGGTCCTGCCTTCAATGCTTTTGAATAATCAGTAAAATGGAAATTTACCACATGAAACTCCCCGTGGGAGCCGGTGGGCGGACATTCCCTTTCCGGCGGGGACGACGGCTCCCCGGGGAATACTAAATGCTAAATAACAGCTGACTCTCTCGCCCAGTGAAGGGTGCATAAATAATAAAATATTTAAACAAGAAATTGAATGAAATTAATTCGGCCCCAAGAGCGACGGGAAAAGCAAGAGCAGGAGCGAGCATATCTGTGTGAGTGAGACTATGTGTGTGTGTGTGTGTGTGTGGGTATCTGTGTAATGTATGCTGCAAGTGGCTGTGTATTGGTCTGTTGCCCTGAGACTGCTCTAAATATCTGCAGGCCAAAAAAGCAACAAAATATGAAAATTAAATTCAATACAATTTTCGAGTGACAGAAAGAGAGAAAAAGTGAAATAAGATCGAAGGATCCGATCTTTTTAAATACCCTCTACTCGAATTTTTATTATTTACCCGTTGTTAAAAAAATATTACGTGTACGCAATAAGTAGAATATCTAATTTAAGTTCATAAGAGTTCCCTCCTTTTTATATCCAAATTCTAAAAACAAAACTGTTGAAATTTAATTTTACAAATTCTTTGAATTTAAGACTCCTTTTACTTGTTTCGTGAATTATTTTCTGGCAGCTAAATGGCTTTTCGAGTACCGGGTATGCAATAAGTCAGCTGCAGAACTCACCGATTTTGGCACCGCCGAATGCATCCTTGAACATGGGCGTCCCGGCAGCGGGGTGGCCCACAGCATGGCCACCGAGTCCTGCCCCGCCCCCTCCCACAGGACCAACGCCACCGGCCAGTAATCCTGGTCCAGTGGCTGGCGTTTGTTTAATGGCATTCGTCCTCCCGCGATGCGGAGCAGTTGGCTCCCTCTTGCGACGCGGCTGCTCGACTGGCAGGACACGTCGTCGCTTCTTGGGCAACTTGGAGCGAGCCTGGGTAGAGTGAGAGTGGCGTAAGCCAGGTAAACAAACAACAACGGGGACAAACAGCTTCCGCGAAAGCCCAAACAAACCTGAGTGTGGGAGTAGAACATGGAGAAGTTGCTGACGATGACTGGCACTGGCAGGGCGATGGTCAGCACTCCGGCCAATGCACACAGCGCACCCACGAACATCCCCGGATAGGTCTTCGGAGCCACGTCCCCGTATCCCACGGTGGTCATGGTCACAATCGCCCACCACAGCCCCAAAGGGATGCTCTTGAACTGGTTGTCCGGATTGTCCTGCGAAAATAAATGGTTCGATTCTTTTATCAAATAGTTGTCCATTTAATTAGAGTCTGAAGAACATTACTTTATTCATTTTCCCAATTCAGGCGAATGAAATGTTCTTTAAAAATATATTTGTTTTTCCCAATTTATATTTAAAAATAATAAAATAATTTATTTTAATTTATGTTTCGCTTTAGCATAAACTCAACTGAAAGCACTTTTATTAGGGTTGTACTTAAGATGAATGTTTGTTTGCAATCCATATATTGTGCACAATAAAGTTCGATATGTTTTACCATTTTATTAATTTAAGACAAGCTTACCAACAAGTTTTAACTAATAAATTTTTGTTTAAAGACAACGCACCTGCAACTTTTCCGCATAGTAGGCCAAACTGGCGAAGAAGACAATGCCCAGGACGAGGAAGAAAACCAGCAGAGTCAGCTCCTTGGCAGAGGCCTTGAATGTGTGGATAAGGATTCTCAGCCCAGGCGAGTGACGGGTCAGCTTGAACAGCCGCATTATCCTCACGATGGAAAAGGCCTCCAGGAGACCCGTATATTCGCCCATGCGCTGCATCACGTCCGTATAGAAGCTCAAAGTGGCCGTAAAGTCAATGATGTTGACCGGCGACTTGATAAACTGCCACAGATTTGGTGAGACCTAAAAAATATTTTGAAATATTATTTCTTGCCTTTAAATATAAAATAAATTACTTTTACTTTCAAAGGGTTTATTGAAGTTATTACCAACACTTAAATATATATATATATATATATGAATATATACATAAGTAAGGGACTTTGTGTTGTCAAAGAAATAAATAAGCTCAATTTATGGTGGCTTCGACTTGACAACAATTAATTGAATGGCAACATATTAGATGCAAAAATAATTAAAAATAACTTTTGATAAAATATTTTATAGTATTTACATTTTTTTTTGTATTTAAATTCAACTTTAATTTGCGATTACTCACAATCAGTCTGATGAGCACCTCGATGAAGAACCAGACGTTGCACACCAGCTCCACGTAGAAGAAGGCCTCATGTGGCTGACCGTAGGTCTCGATCCAGCCGTGTTTCCGCCTCCCGTTGTGCCCGAGGATCTTCTGCTCGATGAACTCGTTCAGGATGCTGCCGTTGATATTCCGTTTCAGTCGCTGCCGCTGGCCGCCCTTAATCGTGGCAATGGGCGTGCCCTGGCCGGGGGCGGTGAAGTTGCCGCTGCTGTAGCTCGTGTAGTTCGTCACACGAAAGGTGGGTCCGATGCTGCCGCTCGGCGGCGTGATGCTGTGCTGATGGTATTGGTGTTGCTGCGGCGGTTCCCCCATCGGATCGTGGCCGTGGGGCGGACCCCCGCCCCCGAACCGTGGGCGTCGTCGGCGGCAGAGGGCAGGTCCACGCGGAAGCCGGGGTGGGTCTTCAGGCAGAATGATATCACAGAAACAAATATAAAGAAAACCGACATGCCAGCAACGATCTGTGAAAAGAAAGTAATGAAAGCAATAAAAGAACAAATTTGAATTAGAGAATATTTAAAGTACTTTGGTTTGATGCCAGTTAGATAATGATCAGAAAATGAAAAGAATTTAAATGTAATAAAACCTTATAAAATATTACTTCAAATTTAAAATGATTTGGTTAAATTTATTTAATGTAAATGTATTTAATTTTGAATTCAATTTTCTTTATTTTTAATGCATATTTTTTCAATTTAAGTATAATTACTTACCTTGGCACCCGTGGAGCTGGAGGGCTCATCGAACATGGCCCAGATCTTGGGTTTAAGACGCTGCCAGCAGTTAAGCTCGCCGTTGCTCAGTGCCTCCTCAAAGCCAAATAGTCGAGCTATCTGCTCCTCAGTGGGCTTCTCATTTTCAATATCTAGCTTATCTAATATGGCTAAGGTGTTCTATAAAGAAATTGCATTAATATTATAAGTAATTAGATTAAAATGGAGTGTAACTTACTTGCGTATCGCGATGTATGCTATAGGTTGACCAGCAGCATGGTTCTACCTGGTTAGAGTCGAGTCCCCAGAATTCCAGCTCCTCCTCGAAAAGCGGTCCACACACGTCAGTTGGGTAATGCAGTTTGCCAGTTCTACGGGAAAGCAAATTAATTATAATTAAATACGAAAACCTTCAGATTGTCAGCGCGGATTATGTGATGTTATCCATTTATTAATATTAAATTAATTAGCATTTTATACATAAATAATACAGCAAAAATAATATCCAGCAAAGTGGAACAATTTATTTAACATTTTCTGTTTTGATGTTTTTTGAGTCCCACTAAAAGATTCAGGCCAAGAGTTTTCCTCATAAATTAAAATGCCAATTTGCTTGGCCTTGTTCTCAAATTATTCAAACTCAAGATGACGACTGGCTTGCCCAGAATCTCATTAAGACTCCGAAATGATGGCATAAGTAACCTCTGACTAAATGCTCTTGCCATCAACGATTCCCCTTTTTCGGCTCTTTCAACCGGTCTAAACTAATTCATGGACTTGGCCAAGCATGCAGGGGGCTTAGACATCAGACCGAATAATTTTATGGCCGAAACGGCACGTCTGGATCTGTGGCAGCAAATTGCGCAACCGAAAGTCTGGCAACGAGAATTGGGGAAGGGGGAACGTGTATCACTTGCATATATGCATGTGGCGGTGGGTTGGGCCAATGTGCGGATGGATATGAATGCACCTGGTAAAAAAGCAGACATGGTCATTCCACACACCCACCTCTTGACCCCCATTCTCCGGCACTTGGCATATTCATAATGCTGCCTTCTCTTGGCCATTGTTCCATTCTCTTGGCCAACAACAAATTGTGATGGTTGCGTTTCCATGTGTGTGAGTGTGTGTGTGCTCAAATTGCAGTAAATGGCTGCGAGGGAGTTCCAAAAAAGCAAAGGGATAAGGGGGTAAAGGGGGTGGTGGTGGATCGTCCTTGTCCACAGTTGTTGGCCAACTTGTAATGCCATATCAGCTGGCGGACAGTCGCCGAGTGCGGAGTATGTCCTTGCAGGGTTTTATTTTTGGATGATATCTTCACTCCCCACCCTTTTTGCAAACCCTCCACACACACACACCCCACACACACACACATTCGTGCAAGTGTGGTATTGTGTGCGCGCCACGTGTGCACATCCTGAATGTCCTTTTTTTATGCCGGCTGCAGCAACATATTTGGCGCAACTTTTTCATTCTTGTGTGCTGTCCAAGCCTTTGTGATGGTTAAAAATCATTCCGTACCCAGAATTCCTTGAAAAAAATATTTAAAAAACGAATGCATAAAGGGAAATGTCGCAGTGCTTTTCCCTTGTTTGGGGAGCTGCAAATTGCCCCTTTTATTTCGCGATCCTGATCCTGATTACTGACTAAAGCTGCCGCAACAGACTTTGACATTTTGACGTGACTGCCTGAAATTTGAGCGGTCATTTATAACGGACCAACCATTGAAAATACTCTTCAAAGGGCCTTAAGAAACTTTCTGAACAGAAAAAATAAAAATGTTGCCATATATGTCTTCATTGAAATTAAACAACTTAAAAAGGTTTTATTTTTTCAACTCCCAATTTAAAGGCAAGAAAAGGCTGTCTTTCATTGCATTTTTTTAATATATCCTAGATTATAAAGTATTTCTTGTTCGTTACCAATTATTTCATGACACTTCCACATTTTTTTAAACTTTTAAAGTGCGCTGCAGTTATTGTCATGCCTTTTCGATATAACTCTCAACGCACCGGGATCGTTAATTGGTTTTCTCCATAAAACCCGCAATTCAGGCAATTTTTTATGCCGATTCCCCACCACTTAAACAGTTTTCGAGTTCTGAATATACGTTTCGGTGAAATCACTTCCATTCCCTCTTAATCCTCCACCTCTGTATTTCTTCTGCGTTTTTTTTTCCTTCATCAGGTGTGCATAACAAATATTACGCATACGCAGCGTGCAACCGATGCAATCAATATTTATAGCTGACCTCAACAAGCAGGTGAGCCGATCAGACTCATAAGAAGTCTCCGCGTTTAAATGTGCATAAGCAATTATATCGATTGGCTCTCATACACTCGGTTTCAGTTATTTGCATTAAAAACATGGGAGCGATAAAATGGGATATTAAACTGACTTTAAATAAGTTATTCATTAAGTGGTAAAAAAATAATGAGGAGTGGTAAGCTTTACAAAGGTAAAGAAATAATCTTAACAACAGATATTTGCTTTAACATTATTTACAAGCTTTAAAAACCACGCCATTAAACTACGAATTCTGCTTACACAATGCATTCTTATAATTATAAAAAATATCTTAATCGAAAATCTTTGCATTTCCCCACCAGTTGCATAAATTCCAATCTTTAAATAATCGATAAACAACAATCCCAACATTTTGCTTTGTGTTTTACTGCATTTTTGCATTCTCTGCAGCTTATCTGTATGAAATCTTTTGCCACAAATTGTCTGAAGCATTTGGTGCGTACATAATTTGATTATATATGCCCCAAGGAGAGTGGGTTACCGAGAGACCCCTAGTTTGTGCCACACCTCCTGAGGGGACTCGGTTTCAATTCCAATCAACGCGGCATGTTGCAGCATTTTTTTCTGCCATTCCTGCCCCTCTTTGACACCATTTTTCTGGCCTGTGGTGCCTGGTTAATTGAGTTGGAAAACTGTTTGGCCAAAGCCCCTGGAGCCATGGGTGTCCAGGAAAACAGGCTAACGGACGCCTCTGCCCAATCAATGAAGATGAACAACCAAGCGATGCTGACAGGCTTGTTTCATCCGAAAAACAACTCCATTTGCAGGTGCACCTTTAGGTGTGGATGTGGGAATAAGGATGAGATGAGATGAGAAGGGGTGTTGAGCAGAACAAACTTTCATTAATTTTAAACAACTTAAGTCATCGCAAACGGGGCAGACAACAGCTCACCTCGGCTCACGGCAAAGATAAATGAGCCCGCTAATGACCCCGAAAAACGTTGGATCAACTTTCGCAGCTCAAAAACTTTAGATTAATGGGCGAGGCAAGTTCGTTCTGCTCCTGGGGCAGCAATTAAAATATTAGTTTGTTTATTCATCGGGCAATCTATAACGAAAACTGACTTTTGATATCTTTTTCCCTGAGCTCCATTAATCAGGGCAATCATTGCCAAGGGAAGCACAAATTGAAATGCCAAAGGTGAAACTGAAGCTAAGTAGGGAAGATGGAATTTTTCAAGGAAAGTGTCTCCTCTTCCTCCACTTTCCACTTGCTTTCTGTACTTAATGTTGTAATTACCATGCTAAGTAATACTACCAGCTCACATTTACAGTCATTGCACGTCTAAACGGCTTTCAGGAGCGTAATTAGCCCGGCTTAGCACTTGGTAACTCACCTGTAATAGTTGAGGATTTGGGTGAAGACCCCGGGGTGGCGATCGAAGAAGTATTCATTGAGTACCGGATCGTAGTTGGCCAGGGCTTCGGTCAGTCGGGAGAGACGTGTTGCGGGGATTTTCTTGAGCGTCGCCTTGTAGGTTTCATATCTGCAATGGGAACGACCAAAGGATGGGCATAAATTATGGGAATTTGCATGTCAATTACTATGTACGCATTGCGCATACGCCATGTGTGCGCTGGTTAATAACTTAACAAATTACTACGGTCATAACTTGCCTTCCTGATCCGCCTGACCCTTCTGCGGTATTTCGCCATTATATCGAGCCATAAAACCCGAGTCACTGAAAAAGTGAGCGATAAAAAAAGGTGGAACACTCCGGAGGGAAAAAACGAGAGGAGATTCAAGCAAGTGTAAGCAAAACCGAGCCATAAGCCATTTGCATACATTTCGCTTTATTTTTTCCCATGGCTCTACGCGGCTCCTCCTTTTTCACCCTCTCCTTTTTTTTAGATTGTGTGCCAAAAGCATAAAGCATTAGGGCTCTGGGTTTTTTTGGTTCTGGCCAAAGTCCAAAGTGGGTCACGTAGACTTTGGTCTAGAATTTCCTTTGTTTGATTTGGCCTTTGACAGAGATCATTACCGCACAAAATTGATGGTTTTTCCATTCATTATGTTTGACAATATTTGCTGACCAAACAGAAATCAATTTAGGACATCCCCACGATTTGAATATGCAAATAGATTTGTTTTTTTAAGCTGTACAAACATTTTTTGTTCCCTACTACTACGAAATCAAAATCACCTCGGGATGTATTTGTTAATTATTACCATTTTCTCATTGCACCATTTGATTGCTATTCGGGGAAAACAAACAGAGCACGTGTTAATTATATTTCCAGCTTTGCTTCACCTGGACAACTCTACACACGAGTATCATGCCGCCACATACACAAACCAAACTTAATTTATGTAATCATCCATAAAATTACACGAGCGAAAGGAGCGACAACGGCACCCACCAGGCGTAATTAAATTCAATTGAAAGTAATTTCCAGCAAATTGTTGTAAATTTCATTTTCGCATTTATAACCCACACATTCCCGGCTCGCAACAGCATTCAATGGCGTTTAAGTGCGCTTCCTGGCAAAACGGAGCCGATTCGAGCCGAGCTGTCCACACGCGTTATATATTTTTTACGCCAAACTGTTTGCTTTCGGTTATTAAATATTTCATGCAGCTGAGGACAGCAACCGCAGCGACAGCAGAATCATCAATAACCGGGTCCGCCGTATAACAATGGCTATTAAAGTTTATTCGGGCTTTTCCACGATGGTAATTGGCCCGAAAGAAGAGCAGTGGACAGGAATCAAGTCCGGGAGTTGGACAAATGTTTACTCAGCCTCAAATTCAATGTATGCAATATTCGGATGGCATTGTATTGAATTAGTTTTCCCGCCTGCGATTGGTTTTCTTTTTTGTGCCATTTTGTTGACCAACAGTGCGTATGCGTAATTCACTTGACAGCTGTGCCGAGCTTTTATTTTACGAGCGAAATAAATTTCGAGAAATATTCTGACAAATTGGCCTAAATCGTATTTAATGAATTATGTTGAAATAAATTCCGTCCTCTTTTGGCCCATCAATCTCGTGCTTGTAATATGGCCGACAGCCGGAAAGTATGCTAAAACAATTTGTATTATGCGAGTGGTAAGAGAAGGGATGAAAAATGTTGAAGAGCCGGCAAAATGATTGAGTGGAGCGGCCAAACAAACATCAAAGTAACGATCAATTAAAACGCAAATGCTGAAATCAGACATTTCACTAATGCTTTTTGACTTCATTCAATAAAATTTACGCAAACAAGGGTAGGCATTTCTCATTACAATTTTATTAAAATGGTTAGAGCAATAAGATGAATTTGTGATTTATACTGTGGAATCTTTATATGGTTAAAAGCATTCTTAAGTGTTTTTGTATACTGCTTTATTGGTTTTCATTAAAGCTGATAAGCTTGCAGACGTTTTTGTTTTTCTCAATTTAAAATGAATTTCCACTTGTCACGAAATTCTAAGCAAATAATTTCGCATACTCACTACAAAATAGCAAGTCACTCTGAACGAAAAACATGAATTTCTAGAATGTTTTATTTTTATGTGAAATCGTATGATAATTTCTACCGGTTAGCTTGCCAAACTAATCTAGCCAAAGAGCCACAGTTCTCCTAAGATCTCCAATTTGATAAACAATATTTAAATAATTCCACTCACGCATACAAAACAAACGCCACATGCAAATGCAATTAATTGAAGTATTTTTAGTTTTATTAATCTCCTTTTTATTGTATTCTTTCTCTTTCTGGTTCTCCTGAGCCAAGAGATTGTTGGGTAGCTATCTTTAGTTCCATCTCACTCGGCCATTATCAGGAGCTATCGGTGTTGGCAAGTTAGCTACTCGACATTTTTATACATATACATATATAGATATAAAAACGTAATTTTTTTTCTTTTTGTGCAGATCGTACTGTAACTATAATAATATAATATAATATTCCTTTGGGAAAGAATAATTTAATATGCTGTATTTCAATAAATAATTTGCAAGAGCTTTTAAAAAATGGCAAAGAATAGGATCCGTATTAAGTATTCGTATCGGAAAGTGACCACAAAGTTACTAGCAGTATAGTACATTAAGATTTTGATTTTAAACAAGATATTTATTTTTGTTTTAAATAAACTAGTTTTAAGCTTGATGATAAAATGGGTCTAAAAGAGTAGCGAATTCAGCTATTTATGGCTTTGTTGTTTGGTGGGGCCTACATCTGTCATCACTGGCGGGGCTCTTGAAAATTCCTCCATAGCTTTCGCGAGCGGCAACGCGACAACATCGCCTCAGTTGCCCGCCGACTGCTGAGTAGCTAACAATTAACGACGTAGTTCTAGTTTTGCGTTCTCGACAGTCTCCCCTATTTTTTTTATCCGGAAAGTAAAACAAGATCAAAATGCTGCGCGTTTTGAAGACCGGTGCTCTGCTGCGAGCTCAAACCAAGAACTTCGCAGCTGCGGTGGCCAACTACTCCGCCCTTCCACAGCCACAGACCACGCCCGATGTCCTTTACACCGGGGTAAGTCTAAGTCCTATTTAAACTCCATATCTAAATCCAAATAAAAGTGAAAACAGTCATAAATTGTAGAAGTTATTATCGCAATCGCAATCGGAAGAATTAACTCGGCGGAAGAGAAAGAAAGCATTAAACGTGTTTTTTAGTTGACCTTGAGACGGGGAACTGCAGCTGTTATCGCTCGAAGCCCCTCCTCAAATGCCCTACATATGCGAAATCAAGTTTTTAGGATTTCCAGTTTAGGTTTCCTCATTTGTGTTAAACCGAAACAGGAAAAAAAAATTGGCAATTCATCGAAAAGCAAACCTCACGGCATTCAGATCACGTACACCAAATGTTTATCGGCAGCTGTAGGGGATTGCAGGGGATTAGGCTGCCTGAGCGAATCGAAAGACCGGCGACTAAAAAATAGATATCCAAAAGCGAAAAAAAAACAACAACAAAATCGCCGGCTGTAGTTGTTTTTGCCACACGCGTTCATTTTTGTTTTTGCTTCTGATTTTCGTTGTTTGCCATTCTCTTTGTTACGTCATAAAAACTAATTTGTTTGCCGCAAATTCTCTCTTTCTTTATTATTCTCTTCGCTTTGCGGTTTCTTCTTTTTGTCCGTAGGGAAATTTGCATAAGTTCAACGAATTTGCAATCACTATCTGTTATCTTTAGTGTCACCAATTAGAACGAGCGTTTGTTGGATTTAATTGAGAGAGGTTTGCGGTTTACAAGTGAGCCAAATGGCTTTTTTGTGGCCAGATGTGCCAAGAAATCCCAAATTGGAGCATTTGGTTGTGAGCCCAACGATGTGAAAATATTGTACACACAAGTTTCTGTGAGACAAAATGTTTAAAATTTAAATCGAAATAAATGCAATCAAGCCATAAATAAAATTAAAATAAAAGCTTTGACTTGCCCACATATGCATTTCCTCATATATGTAGAAATTGAATTATTAGCAAACTTAATAATTTGATGTTCGAGATTTCAGAAAATTGTAATTGGATAACTTCTAACCCGTTTATTATCTGTGTATTTAGTAAAGTTAAAAATTGAAGTTAATAAGGAAAACTCTCAATTGATCCGATTTAATCATCTGTATAATAAAACAATGAAAAATCATACAATTTAAAATTAATTTGCATTTAATATATTTCTTAAACTCCAAAACAGAACATATCTTAAATACTAATTTAAGCATCGTTTTTTTCCATCTTTATAACGCCCACGAATGCGACCAATCCAAAAATCAGCCATATTAATTTGAAAAATCACCCCACCTTCCCACCCGCTTAATAAACTTTCCTATCTGGTTCATTCATCTAATAGTATTTGTTGCCATTGGCAGTTTCCACTTCTTATCACTAGTAGCTCGATTATTTGTGTGGGTCTTTGCTGTGAACATAGATAACATGGCACACTTTATAAGGTCCGAGCTCCCCATCAACCAGTTGGATCGTCTAGCCAGACCCCCAAAAATTGAATACACGTGCCTTGGTCGCTATATTTATGTCTGGCGGAAAGTTTTATATTCGCAAGCATGTTGTGAAATACAAATGTAGATGTATGCAAAAAATAAAAAGTAGTCAAACATAAACATATAGAGAACCGACTTGGGATGACGTGAGGGGTTGAGAGCTCACTTCATTTCAATTCTAATCAGTTAGCCGGTAAACGTTTCAGATTACACGGGTTGGGGGATTGTCAGATACACATGCTAACCGAACAATCAGACGATTGCGATAGAGAAAAAAACACGAACATGAAGCTAATAATAACAAATAACAGCAGTCGAGGGCTTATCATATAAAGGTGCGGCCTGTTTGACACTCCAGCAAAACTGTGTAAAATTAAACAAATTCAATATGCGAGATTATGGAAATTATACTAATCGAAATCATTTTATTGCAGCTGTTTATCAACAATGAGTGGCACAAGAGCAAGTCGGGCAAAACTTTCGGCACCATAAACCCAACCACAGAGCAGACCATCGCCGAAATCCAGGCTGGAGATAAGGAAGATATCGATATTGCCGT